AATAAATAACGTTACGAATTGCCTCTGGACCTCCTGTGAATTCGAAGTGTATGAGACATATCAATCATTTGTGTTTTTATTTTATTTTTTTTTTTTCTAGAAAAACAAATCAGTTTGCTGTTGCAATAGAATTTATGCCAACGAAATATTTTCTCCGCTTCCCAGTAAATTGAGTTCTACTGCCATGACGCAAAAACGATTTACAAAAGCGCAAGCGGGGTGCCAGAGAATTGCTCGGATGAGACCCTCTCTAGTTTGCCAAAGCAAAAAAAGAAGAAGGAGAGGAAAATTTGCCAAGTCCTTTCATGAACTACTTTTTCAAATATGGCCTTGATGATATTCATGTTAAATTGTTCTTTCCTTATTTTATATTATATGGGTGATTCTCTAGAAATTTTATTTCAAAAATAAAAATCGATTGTTTGTACAAATTTCTGTTTTTGATATCAAATATAAAAGAAAGGTAATTTTCGAAATATTTATATCATTATTTTATAGAAGGATTCTAATATATTGGCACTTAAGCGATTTTGACAAGATGCCTAAAGCAGATGGTGTAAACTTACTTAAGTGAGGCCACGAATAGCTCGGGAAGACACCGCTTGCATAATATGCGAGAGGTTAAGTAGTTGCAGACTTAAAGCCTGGAATGGAGAAGTAAGCGAGAGCAGAAGTGACTTTGAGTTTCGTTGGTGAGCACAAGGCTTTTAATTCTATTTAAATGATTATTAAGGTCGAATTAGGGGCGAACGATTCACATTTCATTCCTTTAGGTGTAGTAAATGAAAGGGACTTTATAATTGCGACAATTTGGAGTCAAAATTTAGACGACTTATAACATGATGGCTATTCGAAAGGAGTCACGTTTTCATACCACACACAGGAATTAGAGAACATAAGACAAAAAAAAAATTAATTAAAATCAGAAAAAAGGTAATTATAAATTCTTTTGTCGTTTTTTTTTTTTGAGAGGACACGGGTGTTTGCAGTAGCAACTAATCGTTGGTTTTGAAGCTTGGACCTGTGGTCATGCGAGGAGTGACAAATCTGTTTACTTTCACAATATTTGCTCGAAATTCTGAGGTTATTTGTCAGCCTGAATCGTAGAGTACATGCAAACCATCAGTCGTAATACATATTAGTTATACATTCAAAAGAAGCAGAATGGATAGATCAATTCACATTTCCTTAAATGATTTACTAAATTAGATTTATCTGTTGGCCATTACACCACTTTCCAACAGATGGCGCAAATTTTTTAATTTTATTTCTCTCACAAGTGCAAATTTTCAAATTAAAAAAAATACCTTCTTTATATGATGAGAATGTATAAAAATTGTGTCTTAATTTGGAGAAATATTGTGGAAAAAAAACTGACCATTATCAGGGAATTTTTTTTTTTTTTGTATATCTTGGTTTGAAAATAGTTACGCGAATCAAATTTCTTTTTCTCGATTACAGTTTGTGCATTGTCTTTCAGTGAAGATTCATTGTCGTTTATCACGCGACAATTTTAACGGGCCAATCACAACGCCTTCGGCAGCTGTGCGAGAAATTCACATTTAACGATTGTTCGTCACGAAAACTCTCAGAAATGTGAATCTGTTGATGATTGAAAGACATCATTACTGGACTTATGTTTTATAATAGTATCTATACTATAAACGATCTAAAAGGCAAAAGAGCGGAATTTACGCTTGTAATCTTCAAATCAACAAGACCTTCAGCCTTCGACCTCGTCCAATGACGCTCTTGCGTGTTCACAATTTGCGAATCGTGAGCAACAATTCTCTATAACTACTTTTTCAATCATTCACTTTGAAAACATATTCCATTGTTCTACACGAAGAGGAAAACATTTTTTTTAAAAAAAGAATTTTACTATTAAAATAATAATTATAATAATAATAATTCGAATCTTGAAATTACTTGAAAACAAAAATGGTGTGCCAAAAAAATAAACTCACTAATTTATGTGGTTGACACCCTATTATGCCAGCTCCTCAATCCTAAAAAGACATCAGGGGTGAGAAGAAGAAAAAATTGAACATAAAAGTATTTGGGAGATTTTTGTCTCGAATGTTATTTTTATTCATCGTGAACTGTTATTTATTCAATGGAAAAATTTCAGGGGTGAAAAAAGAAAGAAGGGACGAAACAATCGTTGAGGCAATGAAAATTCCCTTCAATAGTTTTTATATATATTGTATGCTGTACGGTTTGCTTGATATAAAATTTAAGGATCTTTTTAACCCGAAGGCTATTATCGATTAAATGGTAATTTTTTTTATCCAACATATTATACTATGGTACTTGTATAAATTATTTCAACTCAAAAACTATGTCTTTTAAATAAATTATATATGGAAAAAAATTCATTGTAACTCACTTGGAATGAACATATTTAAACAGAAAAATTAAAATATTCTTTTGACATTAAAAAAAAGGAAAACAAATTTATTTTCCTTTTTTACGCTGGTTTTTTAATTAAAAAATTACGAATGGAAATACAAATATCAAGTTATATATATGCTTTTTTTTGTTGCTGTGGAAATGAATTTAATTTTAAATAAAACAAAATTTTTTGTTGCCATTTTATAACATTCATAAATGTATGAAAAAAAAAATAAATGTCAACGCAAAACTGATTGTATAAAAATTTTAAAAAGAATCATAATTGTTGAAAATTCATTCAGATATTTATTACAGTGAATTTTAAAAATAATTAACGTTTATGCGGAAATGTATGAGCGGTGACCACATTTTCCCATATAAAGACTCAACGATAAACCCTCTTGCATCTGCGTCCAGTTCGATTAAACATTGAACGTGTGTAAAATGGAAAGCGATCATCATAAATGGATGGCGTTACGGTTATGGTGTTCTTTGTACAACCACCAATACACGATTTCTGAACATTATGCCATATCTATACCGCAAAATATATATGTATATATATACAACCGATGATCGTGCCAAACATGCCTTATTTTGTTATATTTTTGTCTCCAGAGTCCATTATTTATGAGTTAAAGCAAATTTCCCAATGCCTGATCATTTCAATACAATGGAAAATGGTATTGAAAATATTATTTAATGGAAAATTCTATTTTTTCCGGGTTTTTTTTTACAAAAAAATAGATAAAAATTAAAAAAAACATTTTCTGATTTACATACATACAAAATCTCGGTATATTTTTAATGTATAGAGATTCTAAAAATTGTCAAACGATATTTTCAAGAAGAGCTTTTTAAGTTTCCTTAATTGCATGCGGAGAATTATACAAACGTTTGAGGCTTTTGGATTAAGTGAATCCCGTGCTGGATGAATGGCAATAGTTGTAAGCTTTGAAAGTCTCTCTATATTATATATGAAAAAGTATTTTGTATCCTATTTCAAAGTTGGTTATTCATATTGCAAAATTTTAAGCTTTCTCTTATGTCTCTCTTATGGATTATGGAAGATTAGATCACTTATCGTTGCACTTTAGAAATGGTTTAGAGAGAGAGAGAAGGAAATTTCAAATATAGAACAATTTTTGGCTTGGGGCCAAATTCACTTTGATTAAATGACGTTTTGTGGGACGGAAATCGAAAAGTTTAGCTTAAAGTTCTCAGAATTTGAATTGAAAAGAAGGAAAAAATATTTATTTTCTCTGAATAATAATTTTGTGCCAGAATAGAAAAATTGTTCTTTTTTTTTGCAATTTTCCTTTTTTTTAAAAAAAAAAACTATGATCAGGTTGAAATCAGGCTCGTGGCACGTCAACATGACATGACCGAAGGCTAATCCTACACTGGCACTTGATAATATCGTGACTTGATTTCGATTCTATAAACTGCAGTAGAAAACGATAGTATAATAATTCTGTATATAGAGGTCGACATGACTCTGGCCCAGTTTCAAAACACGCCTCCACCCACTTGATTTTGAAATTTATTAGTAACCTTAAATTAAAATTAAAAAAATGTTACTCTATTTGATTCTTGATTTCATTGGTTTAAAAAAAAGAAGATATCGAACCTGAATAATAGATGAAGCTTCTGGAAGTAGAACTTGGAGTGAGAAAGTGAAAAATGCCGGGATAAATGAGTTAATGGAGGAAGAAAGCAGATAGAGAGAACAACGGTCGATCTTAATTATCTCCTGTTGAACCAATCCTCAAGAAATTTTCACTGTAAATCCCTAACCTAACTCACTTATTATTTCCTTCTATCCGCAGATGATGGGAAACTAAATAAGCATCAATTGTCAGATTTAAGGGTTTTTTTCCCCGTTCTTTTCAAGCATAATATCTTTCAAGATTGATTTGTTGGACCATTGTTTTGAAATTATGTCTATCGATAACCATAAATTTTTTTTTGATGCTTTTTTTCCCCCTCAATTTTCTCGCACGGCCATGACCATAAATAAGAAAAAGGGGAGAAAAACACATAAAATGTTAATTGATATGTTAGATGTTGTAAATTACATTCCAATATACATTGACCAGTGCAGTGAGCTGTAAAACCAGGGTTTCTTCATTCGATATACGTCAAAGGAGTAATAGAACCCTATACTATCGACAAAGGTACCAAGTGATCTGATCAGATCTGATTACTTGGCATGCTTTGAACGTCTTGTTAGAACTCACGCTTCATCAGTTGCTAATACGTTTACATCAAATTAGGTTTGATATATTGGAACATTTTCTATTCATTATTTACTAACGTTTTAGTTTTGACAAACAACTTAATTTTACTTTTTTAGTCTTATCTTTGAATAATAACCCAAATATTCTTTTTCTATTTAAAAAAATTTAGGACCTGAACTGAATTTCTCATACCCAACAGAAATAAGGTATTTGAACTCATAACCTAACCTATGTGACTGGACTTGCAAACTGCAGCCAGCGTGTCGACACGCCATGTGCACGAAACTCCTAAATATACTCCTCACGTCAAAAGCACTCCGAATCTCATTCCCCCCCATCTCCAAAAGTGTTACATTGCAAGCTTACCAGAAGACCGATAAATTCGGATGCCAAAATCCTTGCCGGGGTGTGGTTCTTCCTTGGTCGGGTGGGGTCAGGATCACCCTGCCAGATTAAGTACTTTGGACTCACAGATGAATGGAGGAATCTCAGATGATTCAGAGAACACTATTCCCAAGAACACAAATCGTGTCTGTTGCAGAGGCTGAGGGAAAGTACTTGGATGGGTACAGCTGGTTGGGTATGGATATAGGTTGGACGGTCGCTACGTGTACGGAAACGGGTGTAGGTGAAATGGAGCAGGATAAGGGGGAATGCCCAGACAGGATACTGCCTTCGCTAGGACATTGTTGATCCTTCTTGTCCGTTCTGTGAAAATCTGCTTATCTTAAAATCCCAATTCTTCTTCACACCTATTTTATCACTCCCCCTCCTTTCTTCTTCAATCCAAAAATCCTAACACTTTTCTCTCTTCTTTTGGCTTCAAATTAAAATCATTAAAATCACCACACATCGGTCACGATTTTGGTCTATTGTTCTCACACCGGTTTACAATTGCAATCCACCTCGTGGTCAGGGATCTGCCTCTCAAGTATATCGATAGTCAAGTTTCTAACCTCCGCCCAAACTCGTGCGGCACAACTTGCCTAACCTTCTGTATACATCACTTCTTTGTTAACTGATAGTATCACAGGAGACATAACATTCAGACTTTCAAACAATTGACACACATATTCTCGTATATAAAATGTAAGAAGCATTCACGAATGGATTAAAAATAGCACACACGCACCAATGGGGATGTATGTTTTACAAAAGTCAACAAGAAAACCGCGATTATCATAATAAAGTCACGGTTAAAAAAAAAATTCTATCTTTATCACAAATCACACTTGGTTTTTTTTCCTTTCTTTTTCTTTTGTTTGGTTGAAAAAACGAGAAGAAATTTTTTGAAATTTACTGCTACTGGTATAATATTTTTTGAGGCATCAAGGCCGTGGGCGCTATTCTGACAGTGGTGCGCGGCGCCATGACAGTGGTGGCTGCTCCGCACACATTCATCCCCCTACTTCGATCTTTCACGGACTCCCCCACCGTATTCAGTCGGAGGAAACCTACCAAACCCCTCAACCCTTCAAAACTACCCTGTTTCAGCCCCACCAACGCAATATTGATCTGGCGGAAGGGCGGCATCCAGCGCTGTATTAACCACATTGAGTGCCCCACAGAAAAGAAAAATTCTTCCAAAGAAGGCAAATTCACGTTTTGTATTTTCTTCTCTTACTCGAAAATTACTTCTCCAAAATTAATAATTAATTTCAAAAAATACCAAATTTGCAATTTTGTTCAAAATTTGAAAACAGATGCGATTAATTTTTCTTTTTCTCATAGTAATCTTCAGTTTAATTATTAATTATAGGTTATTCGAAAATTATAAAGTGTTAAAATTACAATGCTATTGATTTAATATCAAATAGAATATTTACAGCATTTCCGCCATGGCATAAAAATTATTAATCCAGTAGAATTTGTAAAATTCTATACCTGTTTTTGAAACTTTTTGTTTGGCAAAAAGGCTGTTGATTTAATTTTTCTCAAATAATCAATTGGACCACAATACCTCCAAAAGACTTGAATAATATTCGGGGAATTATACCCCATTTAACTATTAGTGACCACATTTAAAAAAAAAGAGATTCTTTATGAGAATGAGAAAATTTGATGGAAGGGAAGAAAGTTTAAAGATTGTGCCAATGTTATTAATACTACGGGACATAATGTTATAAGGGGGATTTGGGGTGAGGAAAGGGGGTGGCAGGTGGATAAGATTGACTACTGCAAGTTAAGCTTCAGGTAGCACTTGACACCTGATCTCCGACCTATTACGCTCCTGTTAACCAACCGCTCAACTCATCCTTACTATTCTCAAACCCCTTGCAAAAAGATCGTCTATCTTTCCTTCGCCCCCTGTTCACCAAGAAATGGATCCCTTGCAAAGCAACTTGCTACTCAAGATAATGTCGAGCTCTTATCTTATCATCTTAATGTGTAACAATTGGCACTACGAGAAAACTTATTCTTTTCCTAAAGATTTGAAAATTTCACTAATTTTGATAGTAGAAACAAAATTTTTGTTGTTCTATTAGATCAAAATAGAAAATCATATTAGAATTTTTTTTTCTAATCCTTAGAAAAAGTGTTTTGTATTTTTGAACCATACGGATGTATGGCAGTACCAACAAAACAGTTAACATTAATTTACGAATAAACATAACTTTATATCTGTTACTTTACTACGAAACTATTTCTGTTGATGATAATTAATTTAAGTTTACAAATATAAAAAGAACATAAATAAGTCATAGAAACCCTTTTCAGTTAAGTGTATATATTATTTCTGTAACGAGTTATAAGGGGGAGAAACAGAGTAGGTTGCAAAGGGCGATCGATGTAGCAGCGATTTCTGGAAATCCAAAGCGCACTAAAGAACTTGAACATCATGAGTAAAAGTTAAACTTACCCCAGTGGCTCTCTTGCAGAATCCTTGCCAATGCTTCAGGATTCTGAAACATAAAAAAAAAGAATGAAACTCTCAGGCTGGCGCGTTTCAATCGATACATCCAATCGTGTTACAACTTTTGTAATTTACAGCTTGGAAAATCCCCGTAAGTGCGATCGCGTGACCGAGAGGTGTCGGTTCAACTTTACGCCAGAAGATGCCAAATGGAGGGAAAAGTAAGTAAGAGTTTGGGGAAAAGGGATTACTAAAGCAAACTAAAAAAAAGAAGAAGCAATTCTTGAAACTTGCAGAAAACTTCAATAAAACTTGAATTTACTAATTACAATTCCAAAATATGTAAAATAATTATTTGATAAATATATAAAAAAGAAAAATTTAAATAATTCAAATAAAATTCCTCTTTTTTCATTGATAAACTAAAGGTGTGACATTTCAACAAAAAAAGTGGTATGAACTTGTTCAATGCTTGGGAACGTTTCCAGCTTCGAACTTCCTTTCTTGGCTTCACCCAAGGAACGATATCGACCACACTTCGACTTTCCCGCCACACGTTTCAATTCACCTCTTGACATCCGGGAATCAGTGCATTTCCGGCATCGCGAGAAATCTCGAGTGACATACATTTCCGCTCGTGGGACCAACGAAAGGTGCATGCAACCTGTAGTTCCGCGAATAACAAAAATTGATTTAACCAACACAACGCGAATCAATTTTTTAGTGGGAAATATATTTCTATTAAAAAAAGAATCTGACAAAGCAAATTCCTTTATATATATAAGAAAATCCGATCTCAAATTTCTATTAAAATCTCAAAAAAATTTTTTTTTTTTTTTTGCAAAAGAAATTAAAAATTTAATTGAAAATTATAAACATATATTTTTTAATAAATATTTTTTTTAGACAAAATTTTTTTTTATTAAAATCATTCCTAAAATTAATTTTATTTTAATGTATAAAAGAAAAAGTTTAATTGAGAAGAAAAGAGAAATGAACTCCCCCAAAATCAGCAGAATTGCAACGATTCTAATCCAATTGGATACCGTTATATAGAAAATCCCTCTAAGGGCTAATAAGATTCTGCACGTGGTCCAAGTGAGATAAGACAATTGAGATATCCCTTAAGTTAGTCAAACGATGTGACCTAAATGTTTATTCTCAGCGCCAGTGTATCTTGCATATTTCCCAATGAAGATGTTTACAGCGAGAAACTTTGGAGGATCGCTTAATAATTTGTAAACTATACTAGGATAATACAATAGAAATGCTTTGCTATGGAGTCCAGACATTATATATACAACATCAATAAACCGACAAAGTTTTCTATATATAAAACTATTATTCCATTAGAACTAAAAAGTTTTTCCAAAGAAAAAAAAAAAACATCTCCTATGATAAGAAAAGATTACCAATAAAAAATAAACTCATTTGGTTTAAATAATTTACTGATACGTAATGAAATTAATTCTTTTTTTTTTAAACCAAAAAAACTTCCCCCACGAAATAAAATTCACCAAAAAGCCAAATATATTTTGTGCGAGGTTCTTTATAAAAATTTCCAAGTTTCGGGGAACCTACAGATAAAAAACTGTTTTTATTTACGAGGAAAAAAAATTATTATTATTTTTATTATTACTATTATTATTATTGTTATTATTATTATTATATTATTATTATTGACACGAAGCACTGGACGTGGTAAATGGTCAACGGCGGAAACGACCAACACTCTAATTTTAGATAAATTCGTCCTCTAGCCAATTTCTGAACGCATACCGACCAGTGGCGTCGGTCTACAGTTGCTGCACGTGTGCCAGGTTCGTTAGGCTTTCTGTATACATGTACAAGCATCAAATTGCACTCCAGCAAATCGATGTTTTCCATGTGTGTAGGTCGTACCAAGCACCAATGTTCCAACTCCCGACTGAACACTATATGTATATATATATATATAAAGAGAATCGAATTTTCCTCAGCTAGCCAGACAGTATTCCAATGCGTTTATTGAGGAATTTTTCCTTTTGGCTATTTTGTTTACACTTGAAATATTGAGGATAAAAAATGAACAATAAAAAATTATCCTTTCAGTGGTGCGCCGTTCCGATTAATAAAATTAAAAATGTTTATCAATGAAACTATTTTTTTTGTTCGATTCAAATATAGGACGGACAACAATTCATAAATAGTGGACAACAATGGATCAGACTGGTTTACAGTGGATCATTTTTCTGTTTTCTGGAAAATAAATTCTAAAAATTCTACGATACTGTTAATATATAAATGAATTCAATTCACGTAAACTTTATTTCTATTTAGAAAGATTTTTAAAATCATTCTACAATATAAATCATTGATCCACTGTTGTTCACTCTCCCCTATATAGTTGAGTGTCGAATATGAATTATAATTGTCGACCAAGAACAAAAGTAACCCTCTGAAACGAATTCCGCAGTGAATCCATTCATTATAGATTGAATGAAGTGAATGTGCGCAAAGAGACATTTATCTTATTACATCAATTTTTTTGTTTTTACTTTTTTTTATATATATATACACTGAGGTCAATTTCTCATTACCTTCGGTATTGGAAATGTCAATCTTAAGACGTTGCAAAAAAGTCATTTCGTGAAAATCCATTGCATCTTGACCCGATCCCTTATCAAGTGACGTTTTCTCTCTGTGGTATACATTCAGGATTCTCAACATCCTATTACTTACGATAGGATGAACAAGAGGAAGTCGGAAAAACGTAGGTAGAGTGAACTCATCCGGTTGTACTAGAGAGGAGTCTCTTCGAATGGAAAATCGGTAAAATCCAATTTGGTCCTCCTATAACCACACATCCTTGTAATTTTATTTGCCAAAGTTTGCTTATCCTTGCAAAATAATATACGTATATTCATGTATACATATATATACGTAAAGATATATTACCGCTACTGTAGAAAATGACTCGAGGGTAAACAACTTTATTTATATTATACATTTTATATGTACGTTGATAAAATATACAACTTTATCATAATATAAAGAATATTTTCTTCAAAATAATCCTTTCTTTTATCGTCAAATGCAAGTGGATTTTTTTTTAATATTAAAAAAATTTTATACGATGTTTTAGAATTTAGATTTAATTACTGGAATTGATAAATTTTCTTAGAACATAGCAACCGTTACGCTGACAATGGTTACCATAGCAATTGGTACCAAGTAACTGGTAGCAAAATAACTGGTACCATAGCAACTGGTACCAATGTAACTGGTACCAAAGTAATCGCTACCAAGCAACTGGTACCACAGCAACTGGTACCAATGTAACTGGTACCACAGCAACTGGTACCATTCCAACTGGTACCAAAGTAACTGGTACCATAGCAACTGGTACCAAAGTAACTGGTACCAAGTAACTGGTATCATAGCAACTGGTACCAAAGTAACTGGTACCACAGCAACTGGTACCAAAGTAACTGGTACCAAGTAACTGGTACCAAAGTAACTGGTATCATAGCAACTGGTACCAAAGTAACTGGTACCACAGCAACTGGTACCAAAGT